TGCATAGTATGTAATGTCATGTATACAAGCTGAGCCTTGTAGAGCAGAGATTCTCCTCTTCAGCCAGCTCGAAGCCTGCTAAGATATCCTCCTGACATAGTGCAGCACTGTATGGAAATAACAGCTCACCATCTAGAAGAATTAAGGTTACGTTAGCCAAGGACTAACTGCTTTAGCAGAGATGGTGCAAGGGCACAGCTGTACTGCTTACTCAGCTCTGGCTTAGAAGTCTTGCACTGTAACCCAGGGCACAGCGCCATGTCCCTCATGTCCCACAGACGGCTGGATTTTGCTCAAGGTGACGGTATGGCATCACATACGACTTCATGTCCCACATGCCAATCTAGCAGTGTTCCTGTTTACGTGGAGGTTCACATGAGTAAATGGCACTTCTGATGTAGCAAAGACACATGATGCAAGTGCACCTAGACAACTTCTAGTAATACAATTTATACTTATTTCACTCCACACAGCGAATTAAAATATTCAGTCTTTCAATTTTTGGTAGCCTTTGGAAACTTTTATTTTCTCCCATTATTGGTCAAGGAGGGCGTTGTTCTAGTGTTGTGTTTTTCTTTTCTAATTGTAGAGTGCATATTGCCACTATCTCAAGTCGCACAGTAAATTAAGCCTCAGGCTCCTGTGATTAAGTATTGTAGATGGAATCCTGATCCAAGCAAACTTAAGGGGTAGCAAAGATGAATTAATATCTGCAAATGCACCAAAGAGAAAAGGATAAATGCACTGGAGTGTGAGAGGGATTTTTCTTTCTGCATTCCTGAAAAGAATTTCTGTTAGCTCTATATGCCTTTAAGATTTAGCAAATGTATCTTCAAGAAAGGAAGTATTTTGTCATAAATTTGGCTTTGAATTCTGTTGCCCTTCTGTGCTTGGGCCAATTATTGAAAAAATGCAATCTATCCCTTTATGGATAAATTAAATAGTGTTTATCTGTGTCTTGTACTGTATGTTTCTCATCTTCCTCCTTCTTTCAATACTTCTTTGTAAAAGAAAACATGTAGTCCACAAACAATTGCACAGTGCATTTGCAAGGTGTAATTTAATGTGCCCTTCTGTGAACTTTCATATGCAAAATGTCAGTTACTTACGTACCTAAACCATACCAGACATTGGCCTCATAATTCCATCTTTGGAAAGGTTGGTGTGTAGGTTTTTTGATGATGTGTGAATTATTGAGATAACCTACTTGAGAGGTGGTGAAGGAGAAGAAAACCTTGTTCAGATGGAAGAACTAGATTTTTTTAACAAAAGTATTTTAGCAATTCACAGTAATTTTTAGAGATATCAAAATGAGATATTATGAGATAATTGACCAGTATCTTATCAATTAAAAAAATGCTCCTGGTAATAATAGGGACTTGCATGCTAACTCTGTTCTATATTACTCAGTTACATGCTAATTAGAGTATTCTTTGTCCGTTCTGCACGTTTCATTTTACTTTTCTACTGGCATTGCTTTATATAAATCAGGTTCAATTAATGTAAAAGTGAATTTTTATTTTAAAAATTTCCAGCTCTCTGTTTTCCTCAGCTTCTTAACTCTATGATGTTACCAGCTTCTCCAAAGGCAACCACCAGGGAATTTACAGATTCTTCTTGTCACTGACCATGTGGTTATTCCATTTAACTTTGAAATAAGTCAAACTAGCAATGTCCATGTGCAGAAGATTAGATTACAAAAAACACTTTAAATAAGATTACGATAGTGTTCTGCCGTTAAACTTAAAATGTAAATTGTTGCGGGATTCTAAACTAGGTATAATAGATGTTACTCCTCCACCTCTTTTTGTACAAGTTACTTTTTTTTTCATGCCAGTTCGCACAACACCATAGTCTAGAGTTGTATCCATGCTGCAGTTTTACTTAGATTTATTTCTGTTGGCGCATGCATTTTTGGTATTGTGTTTTCTTTCAGGGCAGGGGTGTATTTTTTTCCCTTGTCCGAGTTGCGAGTTGTCATACAGCTGCAGAGTCCTTTAATTAAGTCAGACGAAGCTATATCAGATGGGCTAGTAATTGAGTGCACTGTTAAGACAACTGAGCTGTTGGTGCTGTACTTTAATTAGGACTTTTAATATTTCATCCCTTACTACCAGAAGTGTGACCTGTCAAGCTGCTGAGAGACTGCTCTGTCTTGACAGAGGTGCAGCTCTGAGCCTGCAATTGCCTCTTACTTATATGCAATTTGTGCAGTCACTTGCGGTGGGTTTGTTGTGACTTTTTTTCTAGATGTGCTTGTTGTTGACAAGAGCAGGAAATCACAGATCTGGTAATGTTTAAGAATATTTGGACTTGTTAAATAGCTCATCAAAATCCAGCCCTCATCTCCTGATCCTAATCTTTCACAAGCAGTTTGAGAGCGTCTTAGCAGTTTTGTTCTCCTTGGTTTTGGTTTACTGTAAAGGTCTTGGTTTAATTGGTAAAGCTTTCGGGGCAAAAAATAGGCAGCTGGATGTAGGGCAGAGAGCCAAATTAGGTTGCAGTTACAGAAGATGGATTGAGCTCATTTAATGTCTTTCCATGGCTGAAAGGGGACTATCTCCTTTCCCCCTTGTCCTTCTCCCTTTGCCCAGGTGCTGTGCACCTCCCCAGCCCCCCAAATCTCTGCTGCTCATTAGACCTCTCTGTGAGCTGCTTGAGCCACTGCTCCGGCACAAAAAAGGGACTGACTTCTGCTGGGCTGGAGAGCCGAAGCGAAGGGTCTGCTGAAGGCTGGAGCTGGGGAGAGGCTGGGTGCAGCGGTGAAGTCCGAGAGGCGTGCAGGGTAGCGAGGAGACAGCAACGCATGTGAATTGCCAACTCCTTGGCATATCCAGGACTGCTCTGTGTCACCCTCTGCGGCTCTTTCCAAGCAGCGTGTATCATTAAAGGGTCACAACACCTAATCCTGTAAATAGGCCCGAGGAAAGACAGTTTGAATTTAAGGGGATAAAAATATATGACTTGCAGTTTTTCACATCTGTGACTTCCTGTTAAGCATGGAAATTGTGTTTATCCTGTATTTTGGCAACTAGCTCCCCTCTTGCTGTACATCAAAACAGTGCATATTTTGCAGCTGGTGCATTGAACCGGAGCTGCTACATTTCTAATGTTTGATACAGTTCCCAGGGGACACTGAAATATTTCATTTTCAAAGGTGCTTGCTCTCTAGGTCTGTCTTCTTTGACACTACCTTGCACTAACCCAATTCCTTGGCATCAACAAAATATGCACTTCTGTGTTAAAGATTACCTGCAGAAGTAACATCCTTGATGTTGGTGTACCACAGGCCAAAGAAGCCAAAGTGTCTTCTTTGTGTAACAAAATTGCATATACGCATAAGCTATAAATCTGTAAGTCATTATATGAAATCACTGGTTGAACCTCTTCAGTCATTTCTTTGAGGGGGAATAGCCCTCTCACAAAGCAAGTGTGGAATAAAATAAACTGTCTGTTATCAGAAGGAATACAATTTTTTTGAGGGAAAGCAAAATTATTGTTCATAAATACAAGATCAGATAAAATCTAAATGTTTTTATTCATCTTTGGAGCAGCCTTATTTATTTTGTCTTTACAAAGCCCATTAGGAAATACATGAATAATGATTTCCTGCCCAAATTCTTATTGTTCTCGAGTGTTTAGTCTCTTCACACAGGACATAGTTTGCTGTGCTTTCTGTCCTAAACCATTCTGGTACCGGTGCACAGACGCACCAGCAGTCTGCTGTATTTCATATCAGTGGGAGCTGAAATGTCCTCCGAGAAGTTTCCGATGTAGTAATGCAGTTTGTATGACACTCTTGTAAACAAGCGGCCACAGCTGAGATCTGGTGATCGTTCTTCAACATATGTACAGTGTGTGATGCACTTACAGCAAACCCTGTCCTGACAGAATTTTGAAGTAACAAGAATTTAATTGGAATATTTCTGTACACTGTAAATCTCTCAGCTTAAATTTGTATTCAGGAGGGAGCGGAGGAAAAGGCATTTTGAAATTCTGTAGGAGGAGAGAACTGGTTTCTTAAAAGGATAAAATCCTGCCTTCGGATGGCAATCGTAACAAAAACGCTTCTAGGATTTAATTATAGTAAATGTGATACTAATTAATGAGTTTATTTTTTTACTGGATAAAGTTTAAGGGGCATCTAAAATTTATCCGCAAACCTAAATTTCATCCAAATATATATATGTAAAAGGTCAATGAAAATAGTAGATGTTGTCTTGAGACATTAGACTCCCAGTTGATGCAGCATGAAAAATCTAAGACTGAAAATAGAAAGATCTAGTGCTGGCCAAACTTTTTCAGCATTTTTTCACCAAAAATATGGTTTTAAGGTGACTGAAACATTTTGCACATTTTTATTTATTTTGCCAAGTTGTTTTACTTAAAAAATAATCAATAATTCAAAAACCTATTGAATGGCTATTTTCATATTTCTTTATACTGTCAAAGGACATATTGATTAGAAATTTAATTTAGTGAAAAAATCAAGTATTTCATTTTAAATAGAACAGTGTTTTATATGCACAAAATTATTCTTTACACTTCTCACCATTCTTTATAAAGGGCATTTTTGTTTTGAGTTGCTAGTTTTTAGTTAGTAAGTAAGTAACCTGAAAAAAGACAGTTATTCTCAGCTATCTAGTAAAAAGAAAAAGGGAAATTGGCTTTACTAGATCTTATTTGTCCAAAGGAATGCAAATAGTGTGTACATAGTTATAATCAAGTTTGAATTTTATCATTCTTTCTCTAATCTCTTTCTCTTGCTTTTAATGATCTAATAAGGTGTTTTACCACATTTATATCAAAGTGATAGTGTTTCTTTAAAAAGCCAACTTGCTAGCTTCAAGTTTAAAATCTATAGCTATATCACAAATGCTAATTCTTCTTTTTTTTTTCATGATTGTGAACAAAGGATTGTGTCTGTGATTCCTGCATAACAGTAATCATTATAATGTCATAGTGACCTAGTCCTTTTTTCTACCTTTTACTCTCTCTAGAGCTACATCTACAATGATCCCATTAGGTACTACATGAGGCAAAAGCCCAAAGAAAGTGCACCTGCTTTGGCCCACGCATCTACATCCCATCAAGAGCCTAATGAAAATCTCCATGGAAGGCTCTTCAGCCAGCCGCCGCTGGACAAACTTCTGCCAGAGTCAGACATGGGGGTTGACCAAAAAACTCTGATAGCCGCGCTACACACATACATCACGCAGAACTTGTCAGCACAAAGCAACGATAAAAGCCCTCCTAGCAGGACTAAAGGGTCTTACGTTTATGCTGACATGTTCTACCCTCCTCAAGTCAGTCATTTTGATGGAACTTTTACCAAAGGAAAAGCAGAAGATTTTGAAATGGAGAAACTGTTGCAGCCGAAATCTGTACCTGGAGTGCTGGTGCCAAGTTTGGAGATTCTGAATCAGAAATCTTCTTCCCAGGACAAACCAAAGGACCCTCTGAGTGCAGTGGATGGTAAAGCTGATATTTATTTTTTTGAACTGGTCTGAATTTTCCCTCGTGTTCACTGAGCATTTTTGCAAAAGATATAAATAGACGTTATTATGTATCTCCTACTATTGACAGGATTATCTTTCTTCCATAATACCCACAGTAATAATGTTCACCATGCTAACTACTTTTTCCTTGCAAACATCTACCCACCTTCCATATGCATGCAGAAATATATTGCAGTCAATAAGACCAATCACTTATATAACTCTTTATATTTTCAGAGTATTTTACAACAATGCGTAATTATGGGAATATTTTTGCTGTCAAATCTGTTTTTATGCATGCATCCCACACCATATATGGATAAGTTAGAACAGCCTATTTTTTTCCGTTTCTCTTTATTTAACTGGAAATTCAAGGACCATGGGTAAAATTCAAAGTCAGCCAAAGAAATCAACACCAAAATAAACTCTGGCACAAAACACATAAAGAGGAGGAGTCTATCAATTATATGGATGTGTGAACATGCAGTAATACAAGAAGGTGGGGGTTACAGCTAGGTTTGGCTGGACAATCTGTAACAAACAATTTATTTGCTGGATTTTCATCTTTTTTGCTAATGCTACTTAACCATGACCAGATTCTCATTTCTATTATATGTAATAGTTTGACAAATATTTAAATGAAGATGGAGTGTTATATCTCATGGGGTACTGTGATGCATTTCAAGTGCTGCTTTGTAAGTCAAGATGTGTCTTCACTTCATGACTGGGGATCAGATAGAGTTTAGAAAATAACTCTCATTCACTTTACTCTTTCTCTAAACTAACCGAGCCATTGATGTTATTCAAGTGGTTCAGAATGCCTGAAAAATAAAATAATTGATCCTCAGATATTGCCAGACAGCTACATCTGTTACAGTGTAGTTACCACCATCCCAAACATTTAGCTGATATGTAAGAGGGTTTCTTTGAATCCCTTCTGAAGTTAATATCATCCATAAAGTTTAATGTTCTTAGATTTGTTTTTTTTAAAAAAAAACAGAACACACAAAAAGTTGCAGCAGAGGAAAGATAACGCTTGCAATCTAAAGGGTGCTCGAAAGTGAAAACGTTCTTGGTATGGTGCCCAGAGATAATAGGTTTCAAGGAACGAGCTATAATGTAAAATCAAATCCAGGTGGCACTGTAAGTCTCTTCCACAGGTTAGACAGTTTTGTTGCTAGACTCAAAACAAACTAGGCACATGCTGGTTTCATTATCCTCCAGCTGTTCTACTTCACCTTTCCTGGTAGGAGCCAACTGGGAAAAAAAATGCTTAACACTTAGAGGGAATAACATATTTCACAATTCATTGGGTTGTGCTGCTTGGACTTCACATACATAATGTGCCCTGTAGGAGCATCTCCCATTGCATTAGCTTTTAAATGTTGCATAGACTTAAAATTATGAATCGCTGAGAAGTGAATAATATGGTTTCCTTTGTATTTTTGTACCATTAAAAAATCTCACAAGGAAGTGGTGAGGACAGACACCAGTGTAGTCACAGTTTAAAATGGGAGCCATTAGGTTGATGATGGACTGGAGTCAGATTTGCCAGGCTGACTGGCTCTTCTCATTCTGTATCTGACCTTTCTCCAAGCTTTCTGGTGCTTCAGGATGTTTGCATGCTTGCGGTTGTTCCTCTCCTGTGTTCTCCAGACCACCGAATAGTTCAAAACTAGGCAGCGCACAGGTCTATCATGTGAGCTCTCATCTCTGCTGCATCGGATTCAGGATTAAGAAAAGCAAAGCTTGACTGGCAGAACAATCCAGAAGGTACTGAGCAGATTAGCACAGGAATTGCTGTGAAACAGCAGCAGGTAAATTAGTTAACAAGGCACCCTGAGGGTGAAATACAAGAGAAGAAAATCTGGAGCCATTTTTCTATCATATTTGGAAACTATTACCTCTAGGAATAGCGTGATGTTCGTGGGTACTGCCTTTGTAGTAGTGCAGTAGTGAAAATCATTAATCTGTCTTCCGCACCAGCCATATTTAGAGCTTAACTCAGTTTTGTCTTGAGTGATTTATTCTAGTCTAGTCATGTTCGATGTATTAAATAGTACAGAATATATTTCTCAGCTGCTTTGGAAAGGCCACAAAATTAGTAATTCAGATTTTTTTTTCAATAAATAATAAACATCTGCATTTATAGAGCAAAAATATTTTTGTATGTATGTTCTCTCTCTTGCCAAGCTGTGGTCACCAGTCCAGGCAGTGCTCAGGACCTCCTGTTGCGGAGAGCTGATAGGTGGTCAATAGGCTGACAGGCGGAAAGCAGACAGCTCGCCCTGTGGGACTGCAGATCATGCAGAAGTGCTGTGCTGTGATTTCAGCAAAGTTACTGTTGCTCTACCACTCTTTGTTGGGCAAACCGGCTTTGGCAGTCACATCAGTGGAGTATGAAGCATGATTTATGCACTGTATGATATATCTGTTTTCCCTTGCTAAGCTGCTGTTGAAACCTAATAGGGTGAATTCTACTGGTGAAGTTGATATTAAAAATTATGTCATCGAAGAAGTATTTGCTTTTATTGTCATGACAGTTCCATAGTAACTATGAAAGGGAACTTGTCTTTTGCAGTCCAGAAGCTGGAGCTAAGGGAGAAATTTAGCTTACCATATAAGCCAACATGGTTGAGCACTGGCAGTTCTATTTAGAGGAGGTCGGTAGAGGAGTACAAAGGCCGTACACAGCTGCGTGCATGTTCAAGTACACGTACTCCTTAAGTGATGTGCTATTGCAGGATCCACTTGCTTTTCTACAATAATATTTTCTGATTTTAAGAAATTCGTAAGAATTAAAATTTAAGTTACCCGAAGGGGTTTGTAAATACATACGCTGATATCTATTTGTGCATCAGCCTTATCCAGTCATCTGCAAATGACAGAAAAACATGGACAAGAGCCAGAATAACAAGTGGAAACTTCCATTTTTAACAGGGGCATGGATTAACAGCATATCATTAATTTCATAAAGTTAGCAAGGCTCTTTATTTAGACCTCCTTTTCTCCAGGCTGTTATAGACATTTTGGTGACTATTCCTCCTAGCGTCCTTAACACATGATGTTCCTCATATATCCCAGCTTGGTATTGCCTTCAGTTTTTGGCATTTGAAATCACACTTAATAGTTATTCAGTAAAGGTACCATGTAATACCTACATTTTACTCACACTTGCAGTCAGCTTGTATTTTCAAGGTGTTGGTTCGATGGGCAGTGTCCCAGTGGTGATGACCAGAACAGGAATAATGGCATCAGAGGTGCAGAAGGCTCCTCTAAAACAGGTTTATTTAATGAACCAGAAGCTGTGGTGAGCCTGTTAGTGGTATCTGCAGCAGGGTCTGTGCCCATTCATTTTTTCCTGTGTGATTCTTCCCTGCACCCCTCTTTCCATTTCTTTTGAGACTGAGGCTGCTTTGTTATTGACAATGAACCTATGGAAGTGGAGTGGAGAGATAAGGCTTTGCTGAGATAATAGATACGGAGAAAAAAGTGGGTTTGGAAAAATGAAAAGGAATTGGAAAAGCTATATTGGCTGCCTGTTGTTCAGCAGCTCAGTATGGTCTGTCAGCTGGCTACAATGCAACAGAAATGAGCAAACAAAAATCTAGTAGTATTACATTAATGTAGCTCTCTTAATTATATATGACCTGAAACGAATTTTCTGTCTTTAAGATTTGTCTTCCAATATTGATGTAATAGCCAGTGACTCGCTCAAATAAAACTAAACACTCAGATGCAGAGGTAAATTAGTTTCTGAGGCTCAAGGCTTGCTTTCAGCTTGGAAAACCCAGGTTATTGACTTTTCACATCAGTATTTTGAGCTACTTTAGAGTTATATCATAAAATTCCTGTAATTTGACCTCAATTACTCATCTTAAATAAATGAACATATTTCATGCAAGTTTTACTCAATAAGACAAATGCTTTTATGCTGTTTTATTTACTGGAATGGTTTGAGACATCTTCCGACACATTTTGCTAAAAACTTTATGCTCTTTCTAAAGATTCTTCTGAAGTATTTTAAAAGTCCTATTCCTGCGTTCAAAAAATAGATAAACTTTTAGGACCCTAGGTAGCATTAGCCCTGAGTGAACTTGAGACCTCAAATTTGAAAAACTTCAGCTTAAGCTACTAAGCATATAAGTATTTTAGACACTTTTTCATAAATCTAGTTTCTTGGTAAGATATTTTCTAATAGCTTGAAAATCATAGTAACTGAATGGCATTCTTCTCAATGTCTTATGGCTAGAAAACGAGGATTCTTAGTTAAGGGAAAAGAAATGTGCTTTCAAGATTGCTTCAGTTCTGAAGTTGAACAAATCAAAAATGCTTCAGAAATTTTTTAGGAAAGTGAGTGGTGACCCTAAAGCAGTCAGTATCATTTAATATTTAGGAAACTCATCTTGAATGTGGGAAAACCATGCCCAAGGCTCTAATCAGCTGGCTGTATTGGGCATTTTCTCTCTCCTTTTGCTGAGAAACAAATAACGTTAATGAATGATGTTTGTGGGTTCTTATAAGCCTTATCATTCTTGACACAGATGTTTTATATTGACATTCCACACTTACAATGAATTTAGAAATACAGAGATGGATTCTTGATCTGCACTAAAAAATGATTATGATCGTTTGTAACTATTATGAGGGCAGCTCGCTTTTCTCCAAAATAATATTCCAGATGATTGTAAAACCTTCATAATCTTGTTCATAGTTTGAAAGCTAACTGTTGCATATCATGGGTTATTTGTATCAACAGATAAATGGCCAAAACGCTTGAAAAAGGGGTCAGTGAAGTCACTGTAGTTTTCCATCTTTTGTAGATTCACTGATGTCAGGTAATCAGTGTTCCAAGAATGTTTTCTTCTACGGTGATGTGCCTGGCGAAATGTTTTTATACATTTACTTGAAAAGTTTCAGTCTTGATTTGCAACTGATATCTATTCAGTCTTTTCTTCCCTAACTTTATTAGCTCTGTTTCAATAATATAGGTTTTTCTATCAGGTTATTGACCAGTAAGTCCATAAAACATAAAACCAGAAAGGCTACCTAAACAGACACAAGGTTTTTGTAACAATCTGGTAACTGTGGTGTTTCCTGGAACTTAATTTCCTGCATTGCTGCTATGTGTAGCACCTGCTCCAAATGGCCATCTTCCAGATAGCTGTTGGGCTTCTTGAAAAAGTTTAAGCTCAGTGTGATGGTGTCTGGTGAAAACTTTTATTGCAGTTTGAATCAATTTGCTCTCATACATAGTCTTTCTATGGAAAAGTGTTTAGTGATTATCTTTTTACTATATTACTAAATTTATAATAGGTGGTAGACACAATACAATGAAACGTGGAAAGGAAAATATGCAACATGTGCTGCACAGTATTACTTAGCTTCTGCCAGACTTCTATCTTAATTTTATTGCCTCCAAATATCTTGGCCTGGAGAGTTTGGCATAGTTTTGAATTTTGGTCTTTGACTCTTTCCTTATGGAACACTTTCTTTCAGTTGTACAAAGCACTCTGCTATTTCAGTATGCTACCATAATCTTTGCTGGATGCCACAGTTTGAAGCAGGATCATAGATTTGACCTCACTATATCTTTTTTATCAATATTCACACTTGAATGTGTTTAAAAATATGCTTTGTAAGGAAGTTTCAGAAGTTGACAGCATACAACATCACTAGCAGAATTTTATAATATCGTCATGGTGGATTATTGGAGGAAAGATGTATCCTTCTGATCTGGCAAAACAAGTGCATCAAAGGACCACCTTCCCCCATGTGTCAAAACCCTGTTTAGCCCTTTCTCCAGTAATGTGTTCCCCTTTACCCATCTACTTTTAAAGTCACCTTTAAGGAAGCCTGAATGCTGGCAGCATGGTCCCAAAGTCTATGTCTCGAGTTGATGATAAACATGTCCCACCACACTGCTTAACAGGGGAATGTTGCTAGAGGAGAAAAGGCTGCTTATTGCCTTCTGTACACTTATACAGAAATTTCTACATTCAACAGAGATTTAAAAGCAATATATAAATCCATCAATGAATTTCATGTGCTTCCAATCCTTTATTCTCACCCAATACTACATATGTGAAAGTGAGTTTGCTTGCTTGCATGCATATGCACATATATGGTAAATTAGTGATTAATATGAATAAACAGAACAGAGGCATGACTGAAAATGGTTTTGAGATGCCAGAGGAATCCCTTAATTAGGTGAGCTTACTCCAAGGCAAATTAGGATGAGCTTTGCAGAGTAGTGTAGAATGGCACTAACGGATATATGAAGTCCGATAAGTACCTTATCTGATAAGTAGTACCCTGAATAACTATTACCCCACATCTTTTAACCCACCTCTAATATCCATTGTCCTTGAATTTTCGCATCTTCAAAACTTGTTTTCATATACTTTTTTTTTCTAGACATAGGTCTGGTAAAACCTGTGCATTTGCTTTTCCCAGCTTGGAATGTCATCTTACATTACTTTCCTTAATGTGACTGATAAAATGTTTTCCCCATTTTGTTCATAGCTGACAAATCAAAACAGTGTTTGGCAAAATTCACATTGAAAAATATATGTACATTTTCCAAGAGAAATCAGTATGATTTAGAAAATTTGTCCGTTACATATCCATGTAGGAAATATTTCTAAATGGAGAGCAGCTGATTAAAGACAAAATACCTGACCCTTTCTTTTCCAAAACTGCATACAGCTATTTACCTTATTTTAAAAAGCAAATCAACAAAGAAGCGCGCTCTCTAATGAACAGTGGTGTTGTTTATGCCAATGTAGAACAACTGAATAAACGTCGAGCTACCTTAATAGTTGTCTTCAGTGTTTGGAGACCATTTGGACGAGGAAGCCATGCTGTGCTTGTAAATAAAAAGTGACAATTTTATACTCATGTCTCCAGGACAACTTGCTAGGTTGTACAGCATACATCACCCACTGCCTGGTACCGTTGGCCTTGTCATAAATTCAAATGTCCTTTTATAATACTGTACTTCCTATAGTGGCAGCAGCTGACTTCACTCTGTGTCTTGGCTCCCTCAATGTGAATGCATTCTTTTGGAAAACAGGCAATCTTCACAAAGCAAAAGATAATTTTAGGAAAAATGAAAGATACTGATACACATGCACTTCTTGTATGCAGCTAAATCTTGTGTTTATGTTGTTTTTGATCCAGAAACACTTATTAAGGATGTACTGAAGGACCTGGAGAAACATCGGGTGAATGTGGAGAACCTGAGCTCATTGGAACTGGATGAGATTGCTGATACGATTGCTGATGCAATTCAAGCTGTTGACATACAAGAAGAAAGGGAAGAGGGTGTTGGGAAAACTAGAGAAGACAAAACAGAAGGAGAAATGAAGAAAGGAGATGCACAAGGAAGGGCACGGGTTCAAACTGGGTTAATGGAGAACAGTGTTAACATAGCAGGTATTAACTCAAAGAGCTAAATATAGCAAAAAATAGATATCCAAATTTTCCTTTTTATGTTTCACTTTAGTGCTAGACTTTTTCTTACTAGTTTTAATGGAGATAGGAAGGAAAGTTTTTCTGTTTTTCCCAGAAGGCTGCAAAATTTTAGCTTTCATGTTTCCTTTTTACTTTATTTACCTGAAATGCATCTGTTTGTGAACCCTTGGTCTTCAAGCTTCACAAACAAGATAAACCTACACACTCAGTTAGATTGAAAAACAAATTGCTTTATGCTGTGTGGTCTAATTTCCTTTTCTTGAAAATGAGATGTTTAAATGAAGCGATAATGAAAAATGATTATATTCCTGAAGTATGTTTCGAAATATGTGAAAAAGATTTTACAGATTTTTTTTATCTGTGTTTTACAGATAATCATTCTTTAACGTACCCTAATTACTTGCAGAAGAAAGTTTTAGATGAGTGCTTTTATAAAACATCTTGTTCCCTTTCCTGCTCGGAGAGCTAAGAGAATTATTATAGTTATTTGCTTCTGTTTGGACACAAATTTTCATGGTGATGCAGATTCAGGAGCTACAGTAATTGCCGTTAATGAGTCAACACTTAGCACAGTGGGACATCAGTTACCACTTACCCATTCTGTATTTTAGGAGTGTTGTATCCAAAACACCAACAGTCTTTTTTTTTTCTATCAAAAGTAGGAGAGTTATCGACAATAGCAATATACTGAAACCCTTACTAGTCAGGGGTATTCTGGTTATTTTAATTGCCGGTTCTGTCTGTAGATTGAAATGAGCAGTCTTGTGGGTTTGTCTTGAATCATGCTGGGAGAGATGAATAAAACAGTTCATAAACTTAAGAGCCAAAGTTATTTAATTGAGGTTAATGATATAACCTCAATCATTAACTATAGCATATCATCGCTATAGTTAAACTGTAACATGTTTCTGGTATAACATATCTATAGACGCAAGTCTTTTCTTCTACTAAAATGTGTGAGTGGTGTATATGTTTCCTTTTTGCTTAATGTAAATATGACGTCCTTTCTGCTAGCTAGAATCACTTTATTGTTTTTTCTTGGATATTGATAAAATGATGTGAAGATCAGCCACTTAATTAGCAAAATAATGCTATTACATTGGCTCTTGCAGTACTATTTCTATTGATCTTGCATTAATTTTCCATCTAAGTGGAGCTAGAATAACCATAATGAATTATACCGTGCTCTTTACTATGCCCTTGCAGCTATGATGTCTTAATGTTTAAACTGCATTAAAAAGGCCACCCTTACAAATAAAGCTGTCTAGGAGCAGCATTTGTTTCATATATGATGCTTTTCTGTTATAATTATATCTATATGCTTTCCACGTCCTACAGATAATGGAGTACGTGAAGCCAGTGCCAGGACTGATAAAGAGGTAGAGTACCAATATTTTAACAACCAAACAAGTATTTTGTCTCAGTATATTAGTTTTAAATGCAGTGAGGGTTAGAAGCACAGCACAAAAGCAAAAAAAGCGTTTTGTGTTTTAGTGGGTATAATTCAGTATTACAGCATAAGCATATTGTTGTTGATGCACTGAAATATTGAATGAGGATTTTTCTAATCCTTAACCAAAATAGCTGCACCAGTTCAAAAAAACAAAAACAAAATCCAGTCCTATTTTTCCTTTCTTTCAATCAAGGCTTGGGTAAACAGACAACATTTACAACAGATCCCAAAGTTCAGATATATTCAGACTTTTTCTCTTGTTAATGAATTCTGAGTATTGAGCTGTTCTATTGAAAACACTCTTTTTCCACCTGTCCTTTTGCTCTCCGTTCTGGGGAATGTAAGCATCATGCTCTGACAATCTCTCTGATTTTGAGAGGCAGATGAGTAAACATATTCCTTCTGAGAGCTCATGTTTATGGGAGGATTCAAAATTCCATTTTCATTCGTGAGATCTGCCGATCTTCACTTTTTCACTGTCAAGTCTACAGTTAATTCTTCAAAACTGTGGAATATTAGACATATTTCAGAAGCTCTAGACAATACCCCCGGTAGTAACATCAAATTTGGGATTCTAATCCAAATTACTTCTATAATATTCCTCATGAGCTTTGAATCATATCTTACTGACTTATGTCCTATATTTTCCCATTTTTGAGGTCTGTTTATCTTTCTTTTTCTGGGTTGCATGGAGCAGAAATAGCTCAAATAAATGTTTTTAAGGACTGAATTGAAAATTTTCCTGCTATATACTCTATCAAATAGCTAAGACTGCAAAATTAAGCAAAAAATGAGCAAACCCTCTAGTTCTCACAATAAAATCTCTTCAATAGCTGCCCATCTACCAGGCAAGGAAAACAGACAAGTGGACAATCAGGTAGGAGTTTTTACCACCCACATGAAATTCTTGAGAGAACCGAAGTGCTGCATTCACAATTATTTTGCAGAAGATCCCATGGATAGATTTCTTACTGACAGTTTGAATAGGGGACATGAGAGAAAAGAATGTTATGACACAGAGCACAGAGTGCCAATAAGCCATTATCTCCTCCCAAACGCTTGACTGTAATATGCTTGTATATATGGAAACTAGCTGATGAATTCTCCAGGCATGCATTTTGATTTTTGCTCATTAGCTCACTGTGTCAATTTATTAGATTGTTTGTATGGTCATAATTTTAACTTAGTGCATCACTCACAAACAATTTTTCACAACTATTTCTAGAAATGAATAAGTGAAATATAATTTTTCATCTGTTTCCTTTCCTGTATTATGACTTAGAAGACCCAGAAGAGGTATGCATGTATTGCCAGTCCCAACACTTAGGCATATTCATGGATATTTGTATCTTTTTTCCTTTCATCAAATTATTTGATAACAAAGTTTTATTCACATCAATACTTGTACACACCCACACCTGCAAATAAACACTGAAAATGTTACCAGCATTTTCTTCTAGGTGTGTCTGAGAACTCTCAAAAGAGAGAGAAAATGCTATCAAGCTTTCTGTGATATTTAAAAAAGAATATAACTGTTAACTATAGAATCTCTTCACCCTTATTATAACTTTTAACTATTTTTTATTACTTCTGAATAAGAATTATGTTCTTATATAGTCTAGTAGCACATGTAAAATAAGAAATTGACCATATGACATTTGTATGAATGAACTCTTGTATTTCAATAAGAATTCAAAGGATTATATCCAGGTTTTGTTCTTTATAACATTTCTGTATTTAGTTTTACAAATACTAATGTTCTTTTAATACAGGAGAACACTGCAAAACTAGTTAACTTCTTGAAAGAGAATGCATTACCTGAAAATATGCCTAAAGAACTTACACCTGAAGAATCTACTAAGACCGAAACCAAGAAATCTGAAGATACTGACTCTCCCTCTTCTTCCTCAGAAGAAATAAATGCTGGTGTGGAAAACGTAAAAAGTGAGACATTCTCAAGGGAACTGCCAGCTGCAAAGAACACTGAATCTGACTCCAAAGACCTGAGTGAGACACACTACTGGATTCAGAATGCTTTGATGAAGGATGAAAATCCTTATGAAGAGCCTCAGAAAAAGATGGGACATGACTTACAACTTGAAGTGAAGACATCTGAGGAGAAAGACTATGGCTATATTGTGACGGCAAAAGAGTAAGTATAGCAACCAATTTGAACGGCATTTTCAAATAGAGAAAAGATAATTGATTGCACCTAATGAAATATAAATGCAAAAGAGGAAAATGCCACAGGCCTAATTTTTAATACATCTGAAACTGTTTGCAACCAGTTCAGTACTTTGATGAAACTATAAGAAAAGAGTTCTGCTCTTTTACAGCTGCCTTTTCTCCAATGCGGAAGATATTTAATTTGTAGATCTTTTGCTTAGACCTCACTCTATCTTCTTATGTTCCAGTGACCTTCCAATATGTCAGTAAGTGTGCTCATGGTTAGGATGTGGGCTTTAAATATTTGACTTGAAAGTAGCCTAAATATCAATGCCTGAGTCATTCTTTGAAAAAATGACACACAATAATAAAGCACAATATTTTCTCTGTGGTTTCATTTTGATCTGAAAATAACAGAAATAGGAATCCAAACATCACATATGCAGCGAGTTTGGAAAGAAAGACCTAATGATTTCAGGTCATGTCACTAATGAATTTGACATTTAATACCATACTTTCAAAAGGCAGCTTTTTCCCCCTAGTGACGTACCATTTATTAAAGAAACATTTAGGAGTTTAGAATGTGGGCACTGTTACTCCCCCTACCCACCATGAGATCAGTGTTATATTTGATTAGTGATCCCTACTCATCTTGCCTGAAAAAATTAGGGAATTTGAGGATGGGCTTACAAATCTGTGTACCATGCTGTGTTGCTTTAAAATGCATGTGGCTGGGCACAAGAAAGGACAGCTTCTTGTTTGCCTTCTCCCATGGCTACGCTTGAGAGAGATGGGATGAAGAAAGGGTGACATTTGTGGGGGAGGGATTTTAAATAGTGCATGGAGGGATAGGCAGAAGAGAGTGAAAGTGAAGGCTTTGCAGCCTGCAAACATCAGAGAGAGAGACAGAGGCAGACAGGGGCAGAGACTTCTCAAAAAGCAGGGAATAGACAAACAGCCTCTCCTCACAGATAATAGAAAGCAAGACATTTCACAGGGACTCAGAGGTTACCTTGCAGAAACTTTTGCAAATAAAAGCTAGTTACTGGAATTAGAGATTCTGGAGGAAAGGGCTCACCTTGGAAGGACGTAGTGGAAACAGATTTACGTTAAGAATCCTTGCATTGCTCTTTTGTCTTGTTCTGAATTTTTGTTTTTCCACGTTAGAATGTTGTTCTAGAATAAATAGTTCATCTTCTAAAGAAACCCAGCTCTGGAATTTAGAAAAGACCTTTTGAGAGTTTTAGGGTACTTCCTTTAAAGAGAGCCCCAACTGATTTGGGGTCCTCTCACGATCACGTTACCGTGTCTATGTGTCTGTAGCCGCTGTTAATTATTATTTAATCTTCAAGTGCTTTGGATTTAATTAACCAGTTTTAAACTTGTTTTGCAATTACACTTTTCAGTTGTTTCTTCCTGTAACTTGTTGATTTTCATTGACTGGTTCCTATAGCAGACTTCCCATTCTCAAGAACCTCTTCCTGGAGAAAGCTAATTAATTAGAAGATTATTCTCCTAGTCTTTTGTTTAGGTCGTACCTTGGTCATTCAGGTAGTTCCCTCTTTGCTAAGGGAGCACTCAGTAGTCTCCTTCTAAGATTTAATATACTGGTCTACCAGAAATTGATGAGAGAGCCTAACTTACCCACATTTCTTCGTTCCTGCCTATGAATACTGTATGAAGCAGTTGAAGCTAATTTTTCCTTCAGGCCTTACAACGCACATCAGTCTGGAAGGCACCTTTACACCCAGTTGTATCCCAGTCGAATCATGTCCCTTCACCATCCTCATTTCTTTCGCCCAAAAATTCTTCAAAAGGTTAGGGCTTTCACAGCTCTACGTAATGGGTGATGTTCTGACTTTCAATCTTCACAGCATGTAAATTCTCCATCTGTTATCTGTTTTTCTTCCTAGCTAGCTCCCAGCTGATGTTTTTTTCCCAGCTTATGTCTATTATCATTTAGTGAAACTTGTGGAAGAGTGTTGTTTGACCAAAAGCTCCTGACCGCAGAGGACTCCATATACGCTCTAATATAATTTAGCATACTTTTGTTCCGCTCCTTTACTATCTTCAGTTCAAGAAAGATAAATTTCAAGATGATAAATTTGTTTTACACTAGATTGCTACATTTTTAGTAACTTTCAGGCAAGACGCTTTTGGAGGAACATGCTGTTCAAAATGTTCAGAAGCAACGTGAAAGATTTTGTAATGAGTTTGATGAAGCTACTTCAAATGTTTTGGATTCACAAATATAAAGTTTATCAAAATAATTTTTGTATTTAAAGGTAACTGGCTTATTATGAAAAGCATGTATTATCTGTAGCTAGTAAACTCAACTGGTAGCTTGTCACTACCTTCTTAGAACTTGTAGAACTTGTGGAACTGTTAGATGTCATCTTCTCCAAAGTTACCTTATAGAAAATGAGAATAAGCTTTCAAGCTTTTTTCCAGTTCCTAATCTAGAATGAGTTAATTGGTGAAGAGAATTAGTTGATTAAATTGAACTAAAGGAAAAATTGAACTGAAGGAAAAATCCTTTTGTACCAGGATTGTATTGCATCCACTCTACAGCAAGCAGATTTTTGTTCAGGATTCTCAGTCAGTAGCTTCTAATACTACAGTGATTTGACTTTCTTTAGAACTCCTGCTGCCGCATTATAATTTTTTTTCTTTTTTTTTTCCATTTACATTATAGTAATAGACAGGCCTTCTTAGGCTATTATCTGCTTTTTGATGGGTTTAATGGAAGTGTAAGAATAAAGTTAACTCATATTTTGAGAAATATTTTTATACATTCTATACTTCTATAATACAAAAAAGAAATCACAAAATTAGTTCAGGAAGTTTTGCATACTAAAAATGGACTTGTCCGCTCTGCATGAGCAGTGAAATATTTTCTACAGCATCTATTACTAATTACTATTTCCCACAACCATTTCCTTAGTACATAAAGTAGCCTTAGAGAGCAATTGGATCAGTTTACCTGAGAGTTTTAGCAAAGACTTGTTCTTCATGAATATTTTTGTAATTAAACTTAATCTTGGGGGAGAGAGGGTAGAGAACAAGGTAATGTTTGTTAACTAGAACTGCAGAGAAGGGCAATTTTTGTGGCTATTTAATGCACAATTCTCTAGTAAGTTTCCTATATCAGTGATTTTTCATACTGTAAATCTTACTTGCTGTTTGCAGTAAATAAATAGAGTAATAAATGGCTTTGCTGTAAGTGTATGTTACACATTTATACACAACTGTGCATGCACATTGCATTCATATAGTGAAGTAAGGAGGCTGGAACTATTCCTAGAAAGATCTTTAATCTACAGCTGTCTAAAATCATACCTGCTTCAGAAGTTATTGTAGCCTATAAGTGCTCAGGAAATTGATGTCACAAGTGATCTTTGATACTCTGTCTCTATATTTTTATGCTTTTTTTAAAGTTCTCTATTTTAGATATAGATGATGTTGAAGGTAAAGGTAGGCGTGAAATACATCTCTCCAAGAGTTCTGAGTTTTAGGCAGATTCGCATGTGAAGTATGTTTCTTGGATAAATTAGCATATTTAGGATTACACAAGGTTACCATTTAGGGTTGGTGTTTTTTTAATGCAGCCATAATTTCTGAACATGAAATGAAATGCTGAAAGGTAGCATTAGCGATACTTACTTGTTTTTGAATATTACTATCTCTATATATTTTTCACCTTCCTTCACATAAAGCAAGAAGTCTTAGTTCCAATCCATCAACTTTTATTGGCCAAGATTTTTTGGAGCAATGGAGTTTCATTTTTTTATAGCTGAAACTGTGGTCTTTTGGTGAGAAAGGGAAGTAGTCCGGCATATTTGTACCCTGGGGATAATAACAAGAGTTCTTTTCACCTTCTGATCTGAAAATGGAACTCAAAAGATTATACTCAACTCTGGTATAGTTGACAGATGTCAGGGGTGATCCATTCACTATTAGATTCTCAGGCTACTGTGGCTTTGCAACTGTGACCTAAGGAGATATTAAGATTGCTTCGGTGAACTCCTAAGATGCCAGCTTTTAGTTGTGCCACAAAGATAAACATTTCCATGTAATACTTGAAGAAAAGATTTGTGATAGTTTAAAGACTTGTCAAAATGGCAGTCTGATTGTCAATGGCAAGAACAATAGGTCACTCCTGCTGTGTTTGTCTAGTGACCTTTCAGATGGTTGGGGCACTGCAATCCATACCAATCCATAATATCCATCAGCACTAATCTTAGGAATGAATTGACAGTTTCAGTGTAGAAAATTGTCCAGTAAATCCTCTGTGGTGCTGCTTCAGCACTTCATTATGCTGAGAAACCAATCAAATTGGGTGATTTACTTTGTTCATTCTTCCCTCCTTCAAAAAATTGGAATTCTGTAGAATTTGTGTGTGAGAGAGAGGTTTTTTTCTTTCTCAGTGTATATGTTTTGTAACTGTTTCTGCTAATTTTAGCTCTGAAATTCTAAAGTGATCTTACAGGGCAAATTATTTGCAGGATGTTACTTTCAGCAGTATGCCATTTAGTGCCATAGATATAATACTTACTATTATAGTGAGAATACATGAATGGGAGACCTCAAATCAGAGGTTTTGCCTATTTTTGGAACAGAGAACTCTTCCTGTTTTCTGAATTTTCAGTTCTTGCCTTCAAGTATAGAAAATTTACTAGCTGGAAAAAAATCCCAGCCCAGGGCTCATGTTGGCTGTGCTTTCGCATAATGAAAATGCAAGAAATCCCCTACTTGTCTGGGAGAACTTGTTCTAAACTGAGGGCCAAAATCTCACAATCAAAATGTTTAAACAGTGTTTAGGTTCCTGAGGCTCTTGAAGCCACCCAAAGCCTGATGACCCAGAATATGCAGTTCCTATTACCTCCAGTAAAACTGAACGCAAGCTGCTGCACGCTCAGCAGTTTAAATAGTCAAGCTTGTATGCATCTTCTTAATTATGGGGTTAAATAGCTAGATTTAACCACA